AAAAAAAAAAAAAAAAAAAACCTTCACAGATGCGCACAATTCTCCCAGCCACACGGCGGCTCGCCCGGCTGCATTGAGTCAAAATAGTCAAATACCCTCTGTTTTTTCCCCCCTTCTTTTTTTGTGAACTCTCTCCTGACTGGATGGCATCAATAGCCTCCTCTCTGGCAATCTTTTCTTTTTTTTTTTCTTTTTTTTTTTTTTTTTTTTTTTTTTTTTTTTTTTCGGAGTCTCTGGCAATCTAGGAAGCTGCACCCCACTGTGTCAAAATAGTCTAATAAAAAATAAAAAAGTCTAATACCCTCTTTTTTTTTTTTTGAACTCTCTCTGACTGGATGGCATCAATAGCCTCCTCTCTGGCATTCTAGGAAGCTGCGCCCCGGCCTTGGATAGCACTGAGGTGTTCGAGTACTAGGCCCACTTGGGACCACGGGAGGGGGTTTGGGTCCGCCTGCGGTCCCAGATCTTCCAGCGGTTCCAGGAGCAGCACAGTCCGTTTCATCGGATCCGTCGGGGCAGTCCCTCATCCCGTCGCACAGACGTCCATACACACACCACGTCCCGTAACACTTCACTCTCTCCTCCTGACACGTGTGGCGTCTGCAATAGCTCCTGCTCTCATCGCTTCCATCGGGGCAATCTGAGATCCCGTCGCAATAAGATCCGTAGAGGTATGTAGCGCTAGTTTTGTTATTTGTGCATCTTATCCGATACGTGCTCTCCGCGATTCGGCGCGCTTTGTCCGTGGAGCAGAAGCTGGGCGACTCATCGCTGCCGTCCAGGCAGTGGGGGGTTCCGTCGCACACTTCGAACTTGGAAATGCAGGTCTTCGCTCGTCGCGGGCACTGCACGTAGAAGTCAGCGCCGCACGTTTTGCGCGACGCGCAGGCCATCGGATCTTCGTCGGAGGCATCGGCGCAGTGCGGCACTGCGTCGCACAGCAGCGGCTTGGCCACGCACTGCAGGCCGTCCTTGCACTTCTCCTCGCTGGCCGTGCAGTTGTATGTGCGGCAGAAGGCGGGATCTTCGTCGGATCCGTCGGTGCACTGCTTGATGCCGTCGCACAGGGTCATCCAGCTCGTCGCGCAGCGGCCGCTGGGGCACCGGTTGTTCCAGCACTCGTACGTGTCGCACCCCTGCTGCTCGTCGGAGCCGTCGGCGCAGTCGGGCACCCCGTCGCACATTCGACTGGTCGGGATGCACGTCTTGTTGTCGCCGGGACACTTCAGGCTTGCGCCCCAGCAGCTGGTGCTTGCGCACCAGTCGCCCTCGTCGTCGCGAGCGGGACAGTCTGGCTGGCCGTCGCACTGCCGCTCCTCGGCAATGCACCTCCCGCTCGCGCACTGGAATAGGTTGCTGATGCCTCCCGCGGCGCGAGCGCAGCCGCGCCGCTTGCAGAAGGCGTCGCTCTCGTCCGCCGCATGCGGGCACTGCGCGACGCCGTCGCACAGCTCGTTCGCGAAGACGCACAGATCGACGGCTGCGGCAACGCTCTTGGCACTGACACCTTCTGTTGGGCATCTGAGTCGGCGGTGAGGGGGATCGCTCCAGTCCAGAGTCATGGGCACGGGAGTGTGCGGCACGTCGCCCACACAGTTATAACGCGCGCAGAAGCTTGGGTCCTCGTCAGATCCGTCTTTGCAGTCGCTCACCCCGTCGCACAGATAGTACTTGTAGGGGTCCCTGTACGCGTGTCGCCACGCGCCCAAGATAGTGGTCACATTCATGCAGTACTTGCCGCTCGGGCAGCGATACCGACCGGCGGCGGCGCAGTCGAAGGTCGCGCACGCCGACGTATCTTCATCGGAGCCGTCGGCGCAGTCCACCACACCGTCGCACACCCTCTCCGGCTGGATGCATTGCTCGATTCCGCTGGGGCAGCGCTTGTAGCCGCGGAAGCAGTAGAAAACTTTCCCGTACGTCACGCCGTTGGGCGGCGGTGACGGCTCCGCTGGCCCGTGCGGCATGCTGCTGGGCGGCCCCGGGGCGGAGATCGCCGGGGGGAGACTGCTGCTGACGATAGTCAGACACAGGAGCGCCGTCGCCGACGCCGTCGCCATCACGATCCCAGCCCGAGGCTTCGGCCTTGATGATCCTTGCACTGCGCGCCGCGGCATCGTCTGTTGGAAAACACGACACCATCATAAGCTCCGGGAACAAGTAGCGCGCACACACAGTGGGGGAGAGACAGAAACCCGTAGTCGCGCGCGGGCGCGTGGACAAACATGCACGCACCCGCACTCGTCATCGCACACTCTAAAAAAAAGGGAAATGCCCTGATAAGTCGGTGAAAGCTCGACAAAACGGTCTGTCGCACTCATGACTTTTGTTGCGCATTTGTTCACACACACTGTCACACACAGACACAGAGAGAGAGAGAGAGAGAGAGAGAGAGAGAGAGAGAGAGAGAGAGAGAGAGAGAGAGAGAGAGAGAGAGAGAGAGAGAGAG